CGGTCCACCTCTCTTTGTCCGTCATCCTTGTACGTAACTGCGAAACCAAAATGTTCCCAAACCGGAGACTTCAATGGTGCTGGAGGATTTTCGAGCTCAACTTCATCTGCGTTCGCAATTTCGACAGTTCCTCAAATTACTGACTAAATTTGAACGCATCCCTGTGACCAGCTCTCATAGTATGCCTCTCGTCCAATGAAATGACTTGCTCGCTCTATGACGTGTTGAACCCAATGTGAGCAAATTACTCTGAATGCTGCGACGCAGCACCTGAGATTACTTCCAAAAAGTTGTTCACGTTCTCAATTTTTTACGTTCAACGTTATATTCGTTCGGTACACACGAATAATTTCAGTACGTGTACCGTTACACCCCTTATAAATATATGTCCCCGGTGTGTCAGGGAACTCACGCAGCGTCAGAAAATAAACCCTCTCTTTTCCTTCATACCCAAATCTTTAAAAAAACGGGGCTACAACGAGCGGATACAGATTTGGTGCCGATATTACGTCAAATCGGCGGCTGACCCACAGAAAGTTGCTATCAGAAACAAAGTTTTTTGTGTTTTGGACGTAATCTCTTCTTTGTTTACATTAGCAAGCCTGCTAACACTCAGAGCTAACCATAGACTGTATATATAAATGGACGTACAGTGTTTCCCTTAGGATGGAGTAATAGCAGCGGTGCTAAGGCACGCGGGCCCAGCATAATGTAAGCGCGGAGCGCGTGGAATCTTTTAGTGTGTGCAACTGCAAAATGCACCCCGCCAATTTGTTTCTATGTGTCAGCACAAGAAAGGCTCTTGAGGCCTAGTACCTAGCCAATTTGCAGCCCTAGGCGAGATTTTATAAAGAATAAATGAAAAATCTCTACAAAAGAGAAATATCCTACAAAAACAGAATTTTAAAGTAAAATGCTTCAATCTGGTGCACTTTGATCACACAATTACTAGAGACTTGGGGCCTCATTTATAACGCCGTGCATAGGATTCACGTGGGAAGGTTGCTTACGTAGTACAAAGCAAAAAAATAGGTACAGAAATGTTGCGACATTTTCCGATTCACAAAACATTGCGTACCGGCGAGGGAAGTGCGTACGGCACTTCCTACGCTGGTTTCCATTTATAAATCACAATCGACTCGAAATGCGGTGCAGCTTTTGCGGGCTTCACGTAACGCCCATATTTGCCTATAAATAGTCAAAGAAACACCCATTCATTCATTCATTTTGACTGACTGCATGAAGAAGATCGCAGTAAATGACGACAGAACAGCTAAAAAAGACATCTCACACCGTGTCAGATTTTGGTTATTTTGGGGAGGTCGAGATAAATCATATTGGTTGGTGGATGCAGTTTGAACCAGAGGAGCAGCATGGAGGTCGGATCGTCACCAAAATAAATAAATAAGTGGTCCGAAAAAGGTTAATGACAAAAAAAATACACATAGCCTTCCTCAGGCAGTGTGTTTGTACCGGGGACAGGAGACCCCCCCCTTGATGAGAAACTGTAAGAAATGATCGGGGAATCCCTCCGGAGTGGAGTCATGACGACTGGAAACCTTGGTTACAGTTGAACACGCGTCGGCACAAATATACTTTATGTCTCGACGTCGGACGACGGAGTGACAGCAGGCAACAAGGCCGTGAGAATACTAGGTAGGCCGGACGCGACGGCCAACGAACCTAAGTCGGGGCGCGGTAGCGCGTTGCACGCCCGCGCTCTGTTTACCACGACGGGGTCCACTTTACTTACATGGAAAATTTCAACCGCCAGGCAAAACACAGGAATATGAAAAAAAAAAAAACACACAAAAAACAAAATAAAAAAAAAAAGAAACAAGAGTGATAATTTTCAACCCATATGCAACTTCACACCCACTAAGAGGTTTCCTTCTAATCGTTATCGCATATTACGGAAGTATTCGACGTCAAAGTTTACGAACTTGTAATCCTTTTTACACGTTGGTTTCACACCAGAACTTCTCTGAATAGAATACATATGCGAAAGGCCAACAAAAAGTACATACATTCTATAAACTGGGATAAGTGACTCACACACACGTTAACGTGTCCCCGACACTCGTGGTCATACAATTCTTTCTGGTCGTTCCATTTCCGTACTACAAGAAATTTTTACTAACTATACAGTCTATAGGTGACGTCCTCAGGAACGTGGAGCTAATACTCAAAGTAAGATAAGATATAAGCTTTACCATGGTTTATACAACAAGTGTAGTGGTAAGTATTGCCGACCACTCACAAGACGCATCATTGGACCCACATAAACATAAGGATTCTTTACCTGTTTACGCTTCTTTCAATCTACAATACCCATAACACTTGATCAGATACTAATTTTCTTCACAATTTTTTCCACTTTTGGAACTTACACTTCATCCAGTTACGTTTTTCTGTTCTGATGAACTGTGGTCGAGTCATAAGATGCGCATTGACTGTACGTTTACCGTGATAAATTACTATATTACGGGGGTAAACCTTATTAATTTATATTTTGTTATATTAACGGACGTAATTAGATTAGGTGCTGCGCTTCGAAGTACCACTATATGTACAAATGGTACTGTGGGCCACATTTAGGGAATATCTCAAGACATGACGTCATAAATGTCGTCCAAACCACAACACTCTTTTCAACTCACTTAATTGGTCGTCCTGTTGTTGTGAATGTATAGAGTATAATCGATTTAGGGTATTACCATAATCCGTGTCTGTTACTGACGGCGAATCGAAGTCGCTAGTGAATCGGTCTCGTCAAGGTTTACGGTGAGAACTCGGACTCCCGATTCAGTTGTATGGACTTCAGAGTTCACTTTTATTAGTTCCGTACGGTCACGCGGTCGTCTCGAATATTTAATGCTCATGTCACCTAGGGTACGTGAGTGAAGACTAGACGACAAAAGTTCATCCCCTACCTGTGACCAGAATTCCGTCCAAGTGTCAACTTTACCACCTCATGCTCTTCTTGCCAGAATTTCGTTTGCGTTTAAGTTATAATCAGGTTCACATGGTACAACACTTATACAAATCGTCGAAACGCAACTGAAGCTTGTCGGGAGAAGGTTGTCCTCGACTCGGCCATGGCTATGAAAGAAGTACTATTCACGAAATGGTCTGAAGTAACTTTCTATAGCAATTAACATCGGAGCCGTCTACCACGCTCCAGTCTGTCTTTGATGGACAAACGACATTTTTTATACGTGCGAATTCCCACTCCGCCCTAAACTCTTCGTGTCGACGTCACCTCTGCGACACGTGTCTCTTCCTTTGTGC